CCGTCTGTCTGTCTGTCTCCCTCTTTCCCTCTCTCCTTCTTTCCTTTTGGAAAGGGGAAAAAGGGATAGAGAGGAATTTTATATAAGGCAGCCACCTCTAAAGCTTCTCTCTTTTTTATTTTTATGGTAGTTGGCATTGAACCCCGGGTGCTCTAACACTGAACTACATCCCCAGTCCCTTTTAATTTTGAGACGGGGTCTCATTAAGTTGCCTGGACTGGCTTTAAACATGCAATCCTTATGCCTCAGCCATCCCTGGATCTTTCACCAGTTGCTTGATCACCTATTCATGGTGAGCCCTGGGTGGATGCTGTGAATAGCTCATAGACCATGGGGGACACAGGCACCCATGGTGGCAACTCTGCATGTGACCCAGTACCTGAAGATCTCTTGGAGAGTCTAGCTCTAGAATAATCAGATGGTTCTAAGCCTCCTAAGTTTACTCTGATGGCTGATAGGTACGGAGAGATTTGGACACAATTCTAGACTCGTCACCATCACTGTTTCTTCAATTTCCAGGAGAAAACTGGCATGGAAAGGCTGAGTTGTTATTAGTGACCTAAGGTCACATCCATATGCACTCTTAGCAAGGCCTTTCGGAGCCACAAGGAATTGGGGCAAGGGACCCTCTTCCCTGGTCTGTATTCCCTCATCTGGAAAATGAGTGTGTAACTGTAGATGATTTCCAGAAGGCTCTCCAGCTCTAGAATTCTGTGCCCTATGACATTCTGAGTTATCTAGAGATGCTGTGGAAATTATGCTTTGCCTGCTGGATTTCCTTTGGCACAGCCAGTAGGCAGCTGCTGGAGGAACCTTCAGGGCAACACTGCTATCAACACACAGAGCCTCCTTACAATGGATCCCTTTTTGATCTTTTTGAATGCTTTTTTTAGTCCTTTGGCATCTATGGCCCTTAGAGTCACCATTCCAGGTCTACCACTTCCTTTGACCTTCTACCAGCCCCACAAGTGGATGGGACACATGATAAAGAGACTGCCCAATGTCTCGGTGTTCCTAGGAACAGGATATGACAAAAACCCTTACTGGTCTCATTCCCAGAGGCACAAATAGGAAACCAGTCAGAGCTTAGGAAAGAGGTCCATGCCTGAGCCTGTGAGTCCCTTAGCTTTGACTTACACACTAAACTGCTATCCTAGCAGCCACCTATGTCATGCAGCTCAAAGCCCACATTCTCAGCATTTGCTCCTGCCAGCTCTGGCTGCTGGTCAAAGAGCCCACTGGCCAGACACAATGGCCCAGGACACAATTTGGCCTGGTACACGTGGTCCTGAGGGCTGGCCAAGGCCAGCTCATCCAAATCAGCAGTCTGACATTCAGCTGGGACACTGTACCACACTACTGGACTTGGGAAGAGATGGTCCGGTACTTCACTGCCAGGAGGACTGTGGAATACAATCTAGGACACTCGCCCATTCCAATCCTGCAGGGCCACACCCCCATCAGCTGGGTGTCAAACACTGCCAGCAGGAGCTCCTTCCTCCCTTCAAATTCTGGAAGAAAAGGCAGGAGGGCAGCCTTCCCTGCCAGCACTGTGCCTTCTCCAGGCCCAGGGTAACTGTGAGGACCCTGAGGACCTGAGGCTGCTGACTTCTACCCCTCCCCTGGTGCCATGCCCCATATGTCTGGATACACTGCCACCTTGTGTTGTGTCAGAGACTGCTCTACTCAGAGCTCAGGCCAGCCTCAAGCCTGCTCCTGCCTCCACAAGCATCTAGTCCCACAAAATGACCTAATACCTGTGGGCACCCACCTACCCTAGGAACCTTCTCTCAGCTTGGAGAGCTCAGCTCTCCCCAGCACCTTCCAGCTTTTCAAGAATTCCACCCCTGGGGCTGGGGATTTAGCTCAGCGGCATAAGCGCCTGCCTTGCAAGCAGGCAGTCGTGAGTTCGATCCTGGTACCGATAAAAACGAAAAAGACAAAAAAAAAAAAAAAAAAAAAAATTCCACCCCAAGACTCCCATCACAGGCTCTGGACCCTAACCTGCATCTCTCCCAGCTGCCCAACTGATTTCCTCTCAGCCACACTGTGAGGGGTCTCCCATCCCCACTAGACCCTATTTTAAAATCCCTTTGTGGAAATCCCACCTCCTTCAGGAAGCTTTCTCCAGACCACCCTTCCAAATCTCAAGGCTGTCTCACATGCTCCTCCCTCTCCCTAACCAGGCTTCCATTTCTACTGCTACACAACCAGCTGACAACCAGAAACATCAGCAGAATTCTGATGCTTGGGGTGCCTGAAACCCATCAGGAGCTCCATGCCTAGGCTTCATTAATCATCAGAGCTGCTCCCACTGCCTGGGAGTTGGCACAATGCCGAGCCCATTACATGGTCCCGCTGGCCTTCAGCTCGGGCCATAAAACAGGTCTGCAACCACTCAGGAGGAAACTGAGGCTGGGGGAGGTTCACTGCCTTCTCCGTGGCCACACACATGTCTGACCTAGTCTGAGCGTTTCCACCACGTCAAGCTGCCTTTCTTGTTCCCAGAAGTCATCCATCAGATAACTATCAGATTGGTAGCACTAAATCAGCATGTTCCTTCAGCAGCCGAAGGAACACAGAAGCCTAGAAATCTTATAATGGAGGAACCAGAGGTCCTTCCCACTGTTCTAGTCTATCTCATGGATTTAAAAAAAAAACCTCTGAGTTCTGAGGTATGACTTGCCACATGCTTCAATCAAATGGATAGCAAAGTAAAAAGTACTGCAAAGCCTCTGGCTTTTAATGCTGTTTACCAAGGAGGCTGCAGGATCTACCAGTATTAGAAGGTAAGCTCCAAGGGACCTGTCTTGGGATAATCCCTAGTGATTTACACTTGTAACCCTATGTTATCTTGCATCAAACTGCAGAATTCCAAGAGTTCAGAGGGGTCTATGCCATTTCTGATGGCAGCAGCCCCTTGGAGCCAGCCACAGGCCCTGAGAGCACAGTTCCTGACAGTTTGCACCTTTCAGCCTTTCGGGCCTCAATATATGCAAATCTTCATCTTCCTCCTCTTCCCCATTCTCACCCTTTCCTATTCCTCCTCTTTCTCATTCCCCTTTGTCTCTTTGCCCTTCTTAAAGCACTTCCCTGTAGTACTGTGGGTTGTAATAAATGCATTTTGGGGATTGGGTGCCTAAGGCTCCCAAAGGCTGAGACTTGCTGATTGGAGCAGAGGCTGGGAGGTAGGCAAATTTTGCACAAATCTATCTCCTACCAAGGGTTTTTTCTGTGCTGGGCCTGGAGAAGGCTTCGTGGCAAAGACAAGGTTTTGGGGCAGTGCCCAGGTACCTGGAAGAAATCCCAGCTTTGAGGCCAGCAGTGAGCTGGGCTTGATTCTCCACTGGTGGCTCAGGAGCATGCATCCCCCAACAGCTGGGTCTTTCACCTCCAGGATAGGGTGGCTCAGCCCCTTCAGGCACAGAAGCACTAAGGACTAACCATTTTTTCTTCCAAGTGATGCTGAGATGCTCTCTTTTTAGGTGATGGTCCACCCTGGCTGAGGACAGCCAACGTGCTCCAGCAACTTCTCTGCCTGGAGGACTGGGCATATCTGGGAGACCACCGCCTTCACAGCCTTTCCCACCATTCTTCACACTGCACCTCCCCCATGCACACACCCTTCCCCCACCAGGAGCACCTTTCCCTTTTCAGGATATGCTAACAAGGTCGGGGCCAACCCACCTACCTACCCAAGGCCCAGGCCGGTTGGCTCTGAGCACCAGGCCTCCGCACCACCAAGGTTCGCTGTGATGCAAAGAGAGGGAGTATTGCCATCTCACCGTCTCCTCCCCACAAGAGCAAGTTCCAAACCAGAGCACCGGCAGAGGCAGCGTTCCTTTCCAGTCTGGGCTGTCACCAAAGTCCTCCCGGCTCCTCAGTGCACCCCCACCCACTTCTCCATGCAGACAGAGCTCAAGGGGGCAAAAGAGAATATCCTGGGCTTAGGCTCCAGCTGTTCCAGGGGCTCTGGGATATCTGCTTGGCTACGTTTGTAGCCACCTCCTGTCTCCCCCAAAAGAGAAAATAACCCTTCACTTCAGAAGAAACAGTGTGGGTTTCTCTAGGGTGCAAGTTCTCTCTCATAAGCAGGATGGAGAAAGCAGGGAATGAAGAGAGGGAGAAGTGAAAAGGATTGAGATGCATTATAACAGTATAACAACTCGCCACAATGATGTACCCATCTTGTACCACAAACAGGTTCAAGAAAAAAAAAAAAAAAAACCAAACAGGGAAAAAAAGGAACGGCGGGTGCCGTTTCTAAGACGCAGCCCAATCCTCCTGAGAGAAGTTACTATTTTCACAAAGGGGTCGGGGATGGTCCCACCGCCCTGGCCATTCCCAGAGAAGTGTTCCTTTGGCAACACGGAAGTAGAGTCCCCATCTGCCAGGTGACTGGAACTGTGAAAGGTCCACTAGCTTCCCTCCACCTGCCTCGGCAGGGCTCGGGTGGGTTGAGCCTGCACACGTGGAAAAAGCTCTGCGAACCAGTAAGCACAGCTCGTATGGGCCCTTACTGGAAGCCGGTCACCTGTCTCGGGACTCCTCCTAACCTCCCAGCCCGCCGTTCTGCCTGCAACCAACCCACAACTCCACAATACCGCTCCTCATTCTCTACGCCAAGAAAAGGGTTAATTCTACCCTAGGAGCCCCGCGGGGCCACGGAGCCTTTCGGCACCCTAAGTATCCCCTCATGCCCGCAAACCCCTTCAACCCGGCGCGCCCCTTTTGCCCGCGCGCCCTTAGCCCCTGCACGCTCCTCTGCTCCAGTCTGCAAGTCTAGGGGCAAATCAACACGCGGGGTCGTCACTTGCGGCGGCCCGAAGTGCGGAGGGGTCGAGGATGGTGCAAGATCAGGACTCCGCGCGTGGCCCGCGGGCACAGAGGCTGCTCCGGATCGGACCACGCGGCGCAGCGCCTTTCCCTGCAGCTCTACCCGCCTGGGTGTAGGACGGCGTGGTGGGGGGGTCCCGGCGGAACTCGCGTTGGCCACTCACCATTACCAGTTTCAGAGAGCGACGGGAGAGGCGATCGCAGCACAAGCAGGAGCGCCGAGAGCACCAGCGCAGCGCGCATGGTGTCCTCGCCTCCGGCCCGGAGCAGGTGGCTGGGGGGCGGCGCAGGGTCCGCGCTTCTGGGCGGCAGGAGCGTGGGCGCCGCTCGGGGAGGCCTGGCGGTAGCTCCCGCTGCCTGGCGGTGGCTCCTCCGAGCCGCAGAGCCGAGCTAGGGCGCGGAGCCAGCGGCAGAGCGGCGGCGGCGGCTGCGGCTGCGTCTGCGTCCGCGTCCCGAGCCGTATCTGCGCGACTACGGTCCGGCGAGCGCTGCAGCGACTCCCGCCCCGTCCAGTCCGCGCCGGCCCCCACCCCCTCCCCAGGAGCGCGCCCGCCGCAGCCCAGGCCGGGCCGGGCCGGGCGGGGCAGCGCTGGGCGGGCACTGGGCCGCGAACAATGAGCCGAGGAGGAAACTCCGCCCTGGAGCACGGCGGGCGGGGGATGCGGGCGGGCGGCCCCGCGCCAGTGGGTGCGGGCGCGCGCGTGTGTGCGCGCGGTCTGGGGCTTCAGACGGACCGCCGACCCGCACGCTAGTATAGTGCGCAGAGCTTTGTGGGGCCGGTTCTAGGCACCCTTGTATATAAAATCCGGAGTCCCCGTGTGTTCATTAATCTCCGACTTCTGGAGGCTTCCTTGGCTGCCGCGCGTTCTGCCGCAACGTCCGACCACTTCTCCCATCTCGCAGGTGTAATTCGCCTGCAGCGAGCCCGATCCCGTATGGCTTCAGGGCGAGTCGGTGCTGCAGGATGTGCACCGCGTAACGTGGACCAATGTGTTCCTCAGCCTCGCAAGCCTAGGTTCCTGTCCTGTGAACAGGAATGATGGTTCTTTGAAAGGCGAAAATGCCCACGATTAATACTTAGCTGTTCTAAATGCTTTGCAGGCATTAATTCGCTTTTCACTTTAGCCTCACTTGCAGGCCGGGAAACTGAGTCAAGGGAAGGAGGGCCGGGGATTTAGCTCAGCGGCAAAGCGCCTGCCTGGCAAGCGCAAGATCCTAAGTTCGATCCCCGATACAAAAAAATAGTAAGGAAATTGTTCAAGATGACATTCCTGCTAAGTGGCAAACTTGTGTGGACATAGTTTGAAAGAATACTGCGCTCATTACCTGACCTATAGTAATTGCTCGATAAGAGTTATTTTTTTTCCAGCGTGAAAAGTAGTAATAAATAGAGTTTTGGCAACACCCACCTTGGGCTAAAAATTTACCTGTGCCCGAATTATTCTCTGGCCTCTGTTCTTTTCTTACGACAAATAAGGATAATAACACCTACTTTCAAGAGTCGCTGGGAGAATCAAATAATACAGGAAAGGAACTTAGCCTAAGGTCAGGAACAAGGACCGTCTTAACCAAAGAAACAGCCTGAGCACTACTTGAGGATGAGAAACGTGCAGGTTGGGAGTGAGGAGTGTAGGTGGGAGGTGGAGAGTATGCAAAGCTGAATTTACAGGTGAAAGAACAAAGAAGCCATCCTCTTTTTTTCTTCTTCTCTTCTCTTCTCTTCTCTTCTCTTCTCTTCTCTTCTCTTCTCTTCTCTTCTCTTCTCTTCTCTTCTCTTCTCTTCTCTTCTCTTCTCTCTTTCTTCCCTTTAAGTAGCTTTGGGGAATGCACACCCAGTAAAGGCGACACCGCTGCGACGCCGGATGCAGGCTGGAGGGGGAGGGGTGTAATAGCCAGAAGGCGCAAATTGGCTCACAGGACTCTTGGATTGCTAAACTGGAGCCTCTTCTACCAGATGGGGCTGAGTGAAGGGACGGCGGACCCTGTGTGCCCTTCAAATCCGCTGTAAGCAGGCGCTGTCTGCAGGGCCCAGTGTCCGTGGAGGGGCAGAGGAAGCGCTGCAGCCCCGGCTGGGGTAGCTCGATAACCGGCTTTGCGCGTGGGAAGGGCTCACTCGCTGTTTTCTTTGGGAAGTTTCTGCAGGGTCGTTCTGGCCTGGTTTTCCACAATGCAAATGGGAAAGACAGAGTGTGTTCCATCGGAATGCTCTGGGAGTGTGTGTGTGTGTGTGTGTGTGTGTGTGTGTGTGACTCTTCGATTTTTTTTTTTTTTTTTTGGTGCAGTTCTTCTGATATCTCTGCCAACAAAAGGCATGCTTCTCTTGTGAAGCTGAGCAATACATTTTAAAAGCTGGAACTTAAAATATTTGCTTTTTATGCTGATGTAGATTGTTTTTATGTTTAGCGAATAAACTCCTCTGAAAACCCAGAAAGAATCTTATCGTGTTAACGTTGTAAAGCTTGGATTCGTTGTAAAGCTTTGTAAAGCTTTAATTCATACGATTTAAGACTGACCCCACTACAAAATCATGCTGAATTAAAATGAAAGTTGATATCTGTGCTACTCTTTGTATCTGCAGATAGTGAAGTCAGAATTGTGTTACAGCTAGGGGGCTTGCTGGCTCAGAACACAAGATTGTGGTTGAAACACAAAGCTCTTGTGTATTTATTTCCTTTCAGTTATTTTTATACAAGTGTTTGAATATTTACCGGTAAAATACAGATCTCCAGATGCAGATACAAATGTAAACATGAATGCCACCTGGAAGATATCATACAGGAATCTATGGCACACGGTTTAGTATTGTTTTTCCGTGGTCCCTGGCGTTCAGTATTATATGTCATGATTCTTAGCTGCAAGTGTAATTTGGAAATGTTGCTGACCACATCTTTAAGTGCAAGCCCTGTGAGTCCTCTTGATCCTCAGTCACAGCATCTAATAGGGATGGGACACAGCCTCTGCCACCTCACACCACAGTAAAACTTTAGGCACACATTTATCCACTCTGAGGCTATAGTTACTCAGAAGGAGCCTGGGATGCTTTTCCTGAGGTTTCTTAACCACTCACCTCTGAGTTACCTGAGCAGTATTCTTTTTTTTTTTTTTTTTTTATCGGTACCGGGAATTGAACTCACGACCGCCTCCTTGCAAGACAGGTGCTTATACCGCTGAGCTAAATCTCCAGCCCCAAGAGCAGTATTCTGTCCATCATGGAAACCAGTGCCCAAGAGGACCAAATCCTGAGAAGAAATTTAATATGCAAAGGCTGAACAGATGAAGTGCTTAGATTTTTATCAACAAAATTGGGCTTTGTCTCTGACACATTGTGTGATTCTACAAATACCAACTGGGGTTCCAGTGGAGTACCTTGCCTCAAAGTCATGTCCTTTCAATGCAAACATGGCATAGCCTCCATCCGTCAGGAGCAAAACAACAGCTGTACACAGACACAGCTGGCAGGTGACAGGGCTGCAATAGATGTTGTGCAGGTGTCGGGGTAGCAGAGAGCAAGCCAGCTCAGTTTGCCTGGGGAGGTGAAGAAGGCTCCTGGAGGAGAGATGTGGGTCTTTGAAGGGGGCATAAGACCTCAGCAAGGAGAGCATGCAAGGGAGGGTGTTGCAGGCAGATGCAGCAACAGCTGAAACGAAGAGGGGAGCTGAGCTCTGTAGGGATTTTGCCTTAGGGAGAGTACAGGGTTTGTGGGGGTGGTGGAGATGAGGCTGGAGAGGTACATAGAGGCAAGAGCTTTGAGACAATGCAGGAACCTTGGAGGCTGTAAGCCAGAGGAACAAGTGAGGAAGGTCATTCTAGCTGCAGCGGTCTTGGGGATGGGTGTGAGGCTGGATGTGAGCATGGCATGTTAGGGATTGAGCACAGCTGTCCCTAAAGCCCTTGCACTCAGGCAATGGTGTTGGGAAAAGGATGTAGAAGTGGTGTGCAGTGTGCATGGTGTGAAGAGGGTGTACGGTCATAGCAGGAGATGGGGTTCCCTGCTTGGATCACAGGTGGGTTATCTGAATGTGGTGATTTGGTGGGAGAGGAGATAACACCAGCTGAGATGGGGAATATAAGAGAGGCAGATTAAGGGAAAGAAAATAAGTCCAGTTTCAAATGTGCTAGAGCCAGGCATGGTGGTCCTAAACCTGTAATCCTAGAACTCTGGAGGCTGAGACAGGAGGATTATCTGTTTGGCCTTATCTCAAGAACAAAAATATTTCTAATGTGTTGCCATCAAAGACTCACTGCCCATCCAGAGGTTATGTCTAGAAATTCTGTCTATGACACTGAAGCTCAGGTGTGACATTAGGACAACAAATGGAGCCCTTGCATACAGCAAGATTGTCCAGGACTATAGAGAAGGAGCCAGGAATTCCTGGCACAGAGAAGGGAGATCCATGTTTACCGAATGGGCTGCAGAGGAGGAGACTGTATAATGGTGAACTTGTCGGCCAGGAGAGAAGGTACCATAGAAATGGAGGCAGGAGGATATTGTGACAGGAAAAGGGTGGCCAGAAATGTCAGCTCTTGCCAGGACTGAGATCTGCTGACAGAACTTGACCACGAAAGGACCTTTGGGGTCCATCCAGGGTAATTTTCATGAAGTGCAGGGGCTTGGAGAAGTCAGTGGAGGGGAGGACATGGAGCAGTGTGGAGAGAAGGGAAGGAGAGAGAACATGGAGCCAGGGAGGTTTGCATGTGTTGCCTTTTTTGTGTGTGACACTGGGGATAGAACCCAGAGGCATTCTACTACTGAGCCACACCACCTCACTTTTCACTTTTTATTTTGAGACAAGGTCCCTCTAAGTTGCCCAGGCTAGCCTTGCGATCCTCCTGCCTTGGTCTCCCAAGTAGCTGAGCTGTCAAATATGCATCCCCATGCCTGACACATTGCTTTAAGATTAGAGGAAGATACATGACTGTAGACTAGGAGGAAGAAGTCAGTTAAAAGGGAGAAATTAAGCTGGGCGTGGTGACTCACACCTGTAATCCTAGTACTAGGGAGGTAAGGCAGGAGGATCCTTGTGAGTTTGAGACCAGCATAGACTACAAAGTGAGCTCAAGGCCAGCCTGAACTGAATAGAGAGACTGTCTGAAAAAGACAAAAAAAAAAAAAAAAAAAAAAAAAGAAAGCAGAAGTATGAGAGCCAAAATGGGAAATGGGGACAGAGGGACTAATCCCAGGCCAAAGGAACTTTATTACTAGAGCTGTCTGTTGAGGCAGATAAGGGGTGGCCGTAGAGGAAGTCAGGTCAGAATTTAATTCTGCTGTGTGGTTTAATAGCCATGTGACTTGACTTTCACTTGACCTCTGTGAGTCACATTCTCATCCTATAAAATAAATAACAGAATTAAAAATAAATAAATACCAGAATTAATCTTACGAGATCCATGTGAGACTTGGAGGAAGCACCCCGTTGGGGCTCAGTATAGGATGGCATGCTTGTGTCTGCAGAACACCTACTTTGATGCGTATTACTCCCAGTGTTTTCAGGTCCCTCTTGGAAGCCCTGCAGCCAGGGACAGGATCATGCTGGCCCTGGCAGCTAGTGAGGATTTCCCACAATGACTGCATCCATCACAGGCCAGGGCTGCAAGTTCTGGGATCCCATAGTTCCTGCTCAGATGCACAGGGTTGCGTGGGAGCATCAGAATCCCATCCACCTCAGATGCAGGGTGAGCCTAAGGCTAAGTGAACTTAAGAGATCACTGGGTCCACCGTCTTCGTCCCATGTGAAGAAAGCAAAGGTCTGAATAGTTGAGGTAACATCTCTACTCACACAGGGTGCCCCAGAAGGATCCAACGCATCCTACAACTCCAGCTACTGTTCCAGTGGAGTAGATTGCCTCCTTGTCCTTATCTATGAAGCTGAGTCTCACAATTGTTGGTTGCACAACTTGGAAAGTCACAGGTTGCCTGGTAGGAGTAAAAGAGAGATGCATGGAGCTGTGGAGCTGGAATTGGGAGAGTTGAAATAAAAATAGCCACAGGCATCAGCTTTGGCTTTCCAGTCTCAGTAAAGCCAGGGCCATCTTTCCCATTCCTCTGTATTTAGTTAGCTTTGTCCACCCCCAAGGTCAGGGTGTATTTGGAGAGAGCTGTGGGAACTTTGCCTGTGTTTTGTGCTTGGAGTATGGTGCTCAGCAGTTTACTTTTCTAACACAATTCTTCATAAATCCAGAAAAGTACATGTATTGGCTCCACCCCATTTACAGATGGGGAACTAGAAACTTCTTTCCCTGACATCCACCTAAAGGTAGCATTTGCTTTGTTGCTTGGCTTTTCCTTGGAGGTTGACAAGCAGGCGCCTCACTTCCTGGATGAACTCTAAGCCCCTCAGGGCGAGACCATGTCCCTTGGTGGTCCCTGACTCTTGCATCCTCACCTCATTCCTCTCCTGCCTTCCACCTGCCAACAGGGTGTTGGGTCACAGAGTCAGACATGACCTTGTTCTTCACCTGTTCAACCCACCTGCCTTCCTGTTGCCCTAACATGGCATCCTTGTTTTCCAAATTCTCACCCACCTAACCTTCCCCTCTTCTTGCACTGCCTGAGGGAAGATCTTCCACATTGTACTCTCAAGTCTTGACCCATTGCTGGTGCTGCTCTTTGTAGCTGGAGCTAATTTATTTCCCTCCCTTCACAGCATTTGAGGGTTCACTTACCACATAGTCCATTCTGATCTGGTCTCTGCCCCTCAGATCAGAAGTGACCACTTCTTCCCAGCACTCAGGAGGCTGAGGCAAGAAGATCACCATGAGTTTCTTGCCATGTAGTGAGCTCGTGGCCTGCCTGCGCTACACAGTGAGACCCTGTCTCAAAATTTCTTCCTCTTCTGGGTTCCCAGGATTCATGTTAGTGCCTTAATCCCCTGTATGATTTCACATGGCTTTTGTTCCAAGCCCCCAGTTCTCTTTGAAGGCACATTATTTACTTGTGTGCCCATCTCAAACTTTCACACGGTGTCTGGCATATGCTAAGTGCTTAATTGTTGAATATTTGTGTCTCAGCCCATTTTCCATTGCTGTATCTGAATCCCTGATGTGGTAATTTGTAGCAAACACAAGTTTAATTTAGCTCCTTGTTCTGGAGGCTAGACAAACCCAAGAACACAGTGCTAACATCTTCCTGGATTCTGTCTGGTGAGGACCTTGTAGTACATTGTAACATGGCAAGGGCATCGCAGAGCAAGCATGAGAGAGAGAGAGAGAGAGAGAGAGAGAGAGAGACAGAGAGAGACAGAGAGAAAGAGCTTTTGCAAACAAGCCACTTCCAAGACAGCCCATTAAACTGTTTCCAAGGACAGAGTCCTCCTAAACCCAATTACCTCCCAAAGGTCCCAGCTCCCCACACTGCTGCACTGGGGACCAAATTTCCAGCACATGAAGCTGGGGGACACATTGAAGCCACAGCTCCTGGTGATCAATGGTAAGAGCAGTGTGAGCGAGAGCTGGAGCTGATTGGTCCTCACCACGTGTATCAGGATTCAACCCTGGCAGGCTGATCCTAAACCTCTCGAGTTCAGAGTACATGAACAGTGTAACTGCAGTGATATTCATCGTGCTGTCATTTTGCCTGCTGTGTCTCATAGGCATGGTAAAAAGATAAACCATTTGCCCCCAGGAGTACTCTAAAATATACAAGTGCTTGTCCTAACTCAAAGAAGTGATTGGCTCACGCACACACCTCCTTATATGTGTGCCTCACCCACACCACCTCGCATCCCCAAGGAACTCGCAAACTCACGTAAACTGCACAGGGACTTGGCCTCTGGGTTTACAGTTACTGATTGTGCCGCACAGTGCACGGGAGGCCACGCCCTGCAGCTAAGTTTATCAAGCCCAAGAGCTATCACTGAGGCACGGTGCCCTTCACAGCTGTGGGCCATTTCCTCCACCTGGGGAAGTCAGAATCGCCACAGCACCGCAGTATTTTCACAATTCTCTTCCTCATGCCTGCCTTTCCCCTGCTCAGGGGTCTTCCACGTGTTTTATATGGTACTTGTTTAGGATTTTTATTTATTTTTCTAACAACTTGATGGACAATGCCTAGATTTATGTAGCTCCCCTGTGTCTTGGAGTACGCTCTGCATTTGGAGGCCTTAGGAACCTGGGAAAAGACTTTGGTTCAAGCAGCCTTCTCTGTGGCTACAGAACAGGTGCAGTTAGAGCCACCATGCCATTCTGTCTCTGTGCGCCGTGGATCACAAAGGTAAACTCGTGGGCCCAGATACGGAAGAGTGATGGCCACAGCCAGGCTGGGACGATCAGTGGAGGTTCCTGTGACTTGTGACTTGTGTAGCTTCTAGAGCATTGTTCTTCCCCACATCACTCCGGGGTATTTTGCTAATAGCTGGAGATGGAGGAGCTGCCTTTGGGCATCAGGGAGGTCAGAAGGCAGCTGCAGAAAGCAAGCCTGCAGCAAAAGGGGCTAAGGGTGGGGGTGCTGAGAACTGCCCCCCAACCCAGTCATCAACATTTTTTGCATAGACCAAGTAGAAATTCCAAAATTCTCAAATTGGGAAGAATCCTGACCTAAGAAGTTTGAGTGAAATCATAGACTTGGGCTAGGGCTGTAGCTCAGTGACAGAGTGCTTGTCTAGCACACACAAAACCCAGCACCACAATTAGGTACATACATACATACATACATACATATCACGGGTTTAGAGAACCCTAGAGCTTAAGGATCTCCCTTGAGAGCCCCATTTTCCCTGATAGCACAGTGGGTGTGTGCATTTCTAGTTCTATCTCTCTGCTAGCATCAGCCTCCGCACTACACCCAACGTTCCAGGAGGTCACAGACCCCGACTGTGTTGACACCAACATCCGGGGATTTGCCACTGAGCATGCTGGAGAACTGAGTTAATCTCCAAAGATAATTTAAAGAGCAAAACGTTGTGTCTCTATTCTTTATTGTGCCTTTTACTAGTTCATGACATCAGGAAACTCTTTAAATATTAATTTTTAATTTTTCATCTGCAAAAAGAGGGAAAGACTATCTGCCCTAACTGTTTTTCAAAGACAATTCCAAACTCTGCAGGTTAAACTGTCAAAGAGCTTTGAAAAATATAACACTCTTTGTGTAGCTCTCACAAATCACTTGTGTATAAATATGGTATTAAGTTCATTTTTTGGTTTTTTTGAGATATGGTCTTGCTATGCAGTTCAGTTTCACCTTAATCTCACTATGTAGCCCAGGCTAACCTTGACTTTATGCTGGATTACGGTCGTGTGCCATTATACCCAGCTTACTATTAATGTTTTACCCAAGTCTCTGATGAGCTTCAAATAAGTAACTCTCAAATATGACCATGGTAAATCATTTCAGGTCTGGAGATGGACGCTGCATTTTCCGTGCCAGGGCACCTCAGGACAATTGCCTTTCCACCCTTCTAACCACAGGGAGAACTTTTGATCTTCCTTATGTGCTGTTGCTATGACCCTGTACCCATGCCTGGGACACAGATCTGGTGACGTATATAGGAAGTGTCAAGTGTTGAGACTTAGTATGACTGCTTTCTCTGCCCTTCTGCCCTACCGTGGGGCTGCACCTAATTCCTTCCCAATGAGGTAACCTCCTTCCTTTTCACAGGTAAGGCCAGCCAGGTGGCTTTCAGCAGCTTCCTCACCTCCTCTGAGGAATCTAATGGTCATTCTATCCAAGAAGTCCTCATTTCAAATTCTTCTGTCACCACTGAAAACTATTGGGTAAAACAGTTGGAACTCTTCATGTGAAGGCCTGGGCCTAATGTTAGTTATGGTGTCTATTCCTCTTCAGTCTCAAGGGGTCCACCCCACCCCTCCACCATCTGGTGACAGCAGGAGCCTTTGCTTTTCTAATAGCAGTCACTTCCGACAGCATCAAAAGACTATTGTCTTTGTATTTTATATAGACCAAAGTCACACAGATAGTGGTAGAGCTGGGCTTCATCAGCCAGTCTGGCAACAACATGACCTTAGCTACTCTGTCATAGCTGTTTAAAGAACTATATGGTTCAAGAGGAGTCCTTTTAGCTGGGTGTGGTGGTGCATGCCTGCACTCCCAGCTACTCAGGAAGCTGAGACAGTAAGACTGCAAGTTTGAGGCCAGCCTGGAATTTACGGAGACCCTTTCTCAAAATAAAAAATAAAAAGGCTTGCATATGTAGCCCAGTAGTACAATGCTTGACTATCATGTGTGACATTTGGTTCAATCTACAGTACTATCAAAAACAAACAAACAGGGGCTGGGGATTTAGCTCAGCGGCATAAGCGCCTGCCTTGTAAGCAGGCAGTCGTGAGTTCGATCCCTGGTACCGATAAAAAGGAAAAAGACAAAAAAAAAACAAACAAACAAACAAACAAACAAAAAAATAGAATGGAGAATCCAGGGGATTGCTTTCTATTGGTTCTTCTAGGAGAATTCTGTTCTTTAAGGCTCAGCTCTAAAGTTCTGCAAGACTGGGGCAGCGATCTAGGGCTGCAGCTGAGTGGTAGAGCTCTTGCCTAGTGTGCACAGCAGCCTGGGTGATCTCAGCACTGTGGGGGAAAAAAATGCTCCAAGGATAAAGCCAATTTTCTGTAAATTTCCCCCCGTAGTATTCTATTCAACATCCCTTGAAGCTCTTCCTCTGCTCTGACAAATGGTAGCCCCAAAGCTGTTCTTCCCCGCTTTGGCCTGTAATTTAAGGAAGATGCCACCCCATGTATACTGCTGGTTTCCTGCTCCAAGCAGAAGATTCCAAATGTTTGTTGATTGAAATCATGATGAACCCTAAGGTGCTAGATTTGGTCACAAGCAGTCCTAGCAACCATGGTGGGCATCGAGCTTAGCTGGGATCCTGGAGGACAGAGAATGAATGAAAGGAGTGATACTGCACTTTCTGGAGCTCTGGATCTACCTGGGAAGTTACACAAGCATCACTTGAACTGTGT